GCTCAGCCACGCGCTGGGAGCTGCAGCAGTAGCGCTCGCTGCTTGCGGCCGGGACTCCTCCGTCCCTCACACGCAGGGCCAGCAGCACCTGTCCCACCACCGTGACGCGCAGGGAATGCCCCCGTGGCGTTCACTATGCCAACCACCGTGCTGCTCTGCCCAGCCCTCTGCAGCGGACCTCGGGCGGGGCGGTGGCTGCTGAAGTGCAAGGTGGGTGACACGTCTTCTTATGTTGCAGAAGAGCACTGTTCCTCCAAAATAAAAATGCTGCTGGGCGTTTATCATGCAATGCTGGGCTGGCCAGGGTAGCGGGTGTTGATGGCGAAGAAACAAGGAGGAGACTCCAGCGTGAGCCCTTCTCCTGAGCGGGGCCTGGTTTCTCTAGGTTGCTACGAACAGCTGAGATGACATTCAGAGCAGAAGCACTCAACACGATCGGCTAGTGCTGGAAGCACCCTTGCTCAGAAAGGCAGGAAGGGGAGCCAGTGAGAAAGATGGCAGGTGATGAAGTCCAGCACCTTGATTTTGTCCTCTTCAGGCAACTGCGGTGGCCCCCAGTTAGGGGAGGCCTTAAAAAGGACAAGCCAAAGAACTCACTGATCCTCGGTCTTCAGAGCAGTTCACACAAAAGTAGATTTCTAATTACCTGCTCCCGCCGTTCTTCGCTCAAGGTGGCAATAGGACTTGCTTCTTACCCCCGTAAGCAGAGACGTGATGGGAGAGGACAAACCTTTCACCCTTTGCAGTACTGCTTATGACATTGTTTCTTTGTAATTCCCCCAGTTTTCCGCCACCATCTTTCAGAAAAGTGCCGATTGCAGAAGATGGATCGTTGGGCACTAGCTTCCTGCTGTGTTCTGCACTTTCACACCAGTACTACTGAGACGTGAGGAGTTGAGAGTCCTTTTCCAGTAACCTCAGCCTCTTAAAACAACCTGGAGAAATACACCAAAACCCAGTTCCATTTCTGAGAGAAAAGTACTTAATAACAAATCCAATTCTACCCTGCTACCATATGCGGGCAAAGATAATGCTTGCACAACTCACGCTGATTGACTCTCTTCCCCTAAACGTAAGCTGGAAACCTGAAAACAGGACAGAGCAGCAGTTACTAACGAGCTGCCCCTGTCTGTAGTCCAAAGCATTAACCAAAGGTCTAGGCAAGGCCGCTGCGATATGTTTGTTAGGCACACACATATACTAAAGTGTCAAAATACAGCATTTGCAGCTCCAGTCTGTGAACCTCACATGAAACTGCTAAGCAACGGAGCATTTCCATTACCTAACAGACATATAGGAACCGAATAAAAGGGTATGACAGAAATGGCTACTGGACAGAGAACGGCAGGATATTACCAGAAGTGGATTTAATCTACAGGTAGGTTGAGCCACACATGATACTCATTGCAATCAGGCTGCAGTAATTAAGAAATCCATACTCACATTCCATCATTTCATTTTGTGACTGGCCAAAATGAACGAATGTGCTGTCGGGGGGGGGGGGGGTGGGGGGGGGGGGGGGAGGCATCGAA